TTTTTCCTAATCATTCTTCCCCCTTCTGCTCCATGAAATTTTAGTAACATAGATATACTAAATACCTGTTTAGATACTGTGACCCTTTGAAGGGCACATCTCATTGTAATATCTAAGATTACTCACCCCCAGGAACCAATTTTCACCCCTTGAGAACTATACTGCCCTACCAAGAATGCATGACTTAGATGGTATTCGGATGGTTTCAAGAAACTTGATTTTCTTTCTCCTTTTTTAAATCAGGGAAACCCTGGATCAGATGGTCTGCCTGGCCGAGATGGATCTCCTGGTGGCAAGGTATAACAAATATATGTACAATAGGTTTGTGTAATTGAAACAAATGACCATCGTATTTATTTTGGAGCTGTGCATTTGTTCACAGGGTGATCGTGGTGAAAATGGCTCTCCTGGTGCCCCTGGTGCTCCCGGTCATCCAGGTCCACCTGGTCCTGTTGGTCCAGCTGGAAAGAGTGGCGACAGAGGAGAAACGGTGAGTTCTGATAAGCACCCTCTCTCTATACTCGTCTATTTCCCTCAGTAAAGAAATTTGTAGGTAGGAGGTGGGGTGTCGTATCTGCCAACCAAAATATATGCTACCATTTATTTTAGTTTTTATGCTAGTCATTATTCCTTAGATAAATGTGCTGATAAAGATATACCAGAAAATTCTAACAGTGGTCAATGAAGAATTCATTACTGAAATCTGATACAGTATTAATCAGACCAACTGTCTATGTGCTGGGTAAATGCGAGGCTGAATTAATGGGACTCTTGACAGCTTTTCTGTTTAGATCTCCTGGTAAAAATATAAACAGGAAAAGCCCTTTTAAGGAGAAAGCAATATTAACTTCGTATAATAGTATGCATACTATTATTTCATCACAATGAAATTACTAACTTTTAAAAACAAAATTGTATCAGTGAATAAAAATTCCATGTGTGTTTGCTCATGAGTTTGTTTCATCTTAGGGTCCTGCTGGCCCTGCTGGTGCTCCCGGTCCTGCTGGTTCCCGGGGTGCTCCTGTAAGTTTTGTTTTGTGTTTTTAACTTACTCTATTTTATAGCATGCTCAGGAAAAGGGGATGACAAAATATATAACTGTGGAACAAATATAATCTCTCCTTTAGTGATACAGAAAGAAATTCAGCATCTAAAATTTCCTTAGGACAAAGGATATTAACATCAATTATTAGGGTTCCATGTAATTAGTAGTCCAAAATTAAAACAACTACAAAAAACAATTTTTATTGTTCCATGTATGAAGTGTCTCTTGATGGGGATTCTTGGTTAATATAAAGCCATAGAGTAATTGCTGTATCTTATATTTTATTTTTCAATATGTGTGCGTGTACGTGACCTTAATTTGAATGTGTTTCTAAAGGGTCCCCAAGGTCCACGTGGTGACAAAGGTGAAACGGGTGAACGTGGTGCTAGTGGCATCAAAGGACATCGAGGATTCCCTGGTAATCCTGGTGCCCCAGGTTCTCCAGTAAGTGCATCCATTTTGTTAGAAAATCCCCTTCAATGAATTTTAACTGATGAGCTAGGCAAATTTCAGAGATGAAGAGTATAAAAATTTTCCATCACTAAAAGTATATGCTCGAGGAGATGAAAAATGAATTTGAGGGCCTATTTGAAAAAACAGTTGCATGAAATATGTGGGAGGTTAAAGAAAGAGAAAACCATGTTTTGTCATGATTGCCATGATTCTTGATCTGATCTTGAACATACAGAGAACATCGCCTAAACCTTTCTAAGGTCTCCACTCATATTCGCCTTTCCTTTCCTTCCAGGGGCCTGCCGGTCACCAGGGTGCAGTTGGTAGTCCAGGACCTGTGCCATGATTCTTGATCTGATCTTGAACATACAGAGAACATCGCCTAAACCTTTCTAAGGTCTCCACTCATATTTGCCTTTCCTTTCCTTCCAGGGGCCTGCCGGTCACCAGGGTGCAGTTGGTAGTCCAGGACCTGCAGGCCCCAGAGTAAGTACCACAGAATGATATTGGAAGGTCCACATTTTTAAAATGCTTGCACTTCAGGAACATATTCTAGCCTTGTGATATTACGATAATTTCTTAGGGACCTGTTGGACCCAGTGGGCCCCCTGGCAAAGATGGAACAAGTGGACATCCAGGTCCTATTGGACCACCAGGGCCTCGAGGCAACAGAGGTGAAAGAGGATCTGAGGTAAGACATCACTTATGTGTATGTGTATTTAATTTGCTACAATCTTCAAACTGTCAGAAACACTGCATATATTTTAAACTGAAATAATGAGTCAAACACAATGCAATCTCTTGATTTGAGCAACAACTTGAAGACATTCTCTACCACATCGAGACTTTTTCTATAACACAATAGAATAGAAGATAAAGAATATTTGTAATAGTTTGATTAGATAACTGTTAGATGTTAGAGAATGGCATATGCCCAATTAACAAAATGAACCATGGCAGCATTGGTCTCGTAACCATGATAATCATGATGATTTGCTTATATGTAGTACATTTAACTTCTCAAATAGCTTCCATGATTCCTGTTTTGCTACTGATACAATCTCTCCTAATACTTTCCTATCCCATGACTTTGGGATAAAGGGAATAAAAACTGTTATCCCCACAATTACATGTGTGACATTTGAAGCACAAATAATCAAGTAATCAACCCAAAGACACAAAGCTAATGACATATTTGGGGTTTGAATGTAGATTCCCTGGATGGGGAGAAAAGAAGAATTGGTGAAGGGACATGACAATCAACTACATTGTATATTGATAAATTAAAACATTTTTTAAATTTTAAAAATTTGTAAAAGAATGTAGTTCCCTGATTTTATCCCCTCTGCTCTGTCAGTATCAGAATTGAGCTTCACGGGCTATTTGCATACATCATTTATGCAGAAGGAAGACTGATAGAGTAAAATTTGTGCTCTGACACCGCATTCTCACATAGTGAAACAATACATTTTTTGTTAATAAATTGTAGTTGTTATAAATTGGTTATCATGTGATAACAAAAGCACACAAGTAAACCTTCATTAAAATAATTATGATGACAATGTATGACTTTTATTTTTAATGCATTTTCCTGGACTAGCAACATGTACTTTCAACGGAGACCAAACAAATACAATGATACATATCTTACCCATTCTAGGGCTCCCCAGGCCACCCAGGGCAACCAGGCCCCCCAGGACCCCCTGGTGCCCCTGGTCCTTGCTGTGGTTATGGGGCTGGGGCTGCCATTGCTGGGACTGGAGGTGAAAAAGCTGGTATGCTTGCCCCATATTATGGAGATGACCCACTGGATTTCAAAATCAACACTGAAGAGATCATGTCTTCACTCAAATCTGTTAATGGACAAATAGAAAGCCTCATTAGTCCTGATGGTTCTCGTAAAAACCCTGCTCGGAACTGCAGAGACCTGAAATTCTGCCATCCTGAACTCAAGAGTGGTATGTTTGGGAGTCTTTCACACTCGTGGCAAAAGGATTATGGAGAAAACTGCTCATATTAGAATTTGAGGAAGAGGAAACTTTCTCTGTCAATAGAAAATATTTTATAGCCAAAATAGAACTTAAAGAATGTTAGTTGAGTTGAAGCTGCTTGATATTGTAAGAAAAAGTAAACCCTGCAGATGTATTTAAAATATAACATAAATGACTTCAAAATATTCCAAATATAGGAAAACTTAAAGACAGTTCTGTAGAAAGTTTAAAACAAATTGTAATTTGGTATGTTTCTAAATGTCATCGCAAAGTTATTTGTTTGATAAAGTGACATATATTATGTTCTCAAGATTAAATATATATAATTTGATGCAGACAATTATTGCAATATTTGTTTATTGCAATTTAAGTTATGGTAATAGATTTATTAAATTTTTCAAATTAAGAAACAGAAAATTTCAAAACTGAATATTCAATTGAATATTGAATATTGTAATAGTTTCAGGTTTTGCATATGTTGGGTAAATTTTTTCTGAAACACAATATTATTTTAAACCTTTCAAATATCTTGACATGGAACATTGCCTTTGCTATGAGTAATTTCTAGAAATTACTTAAAATAGAAGACAACCATAATCATGTGAACTCTAGGTTTAAATCTATTGGCATTAAGTCTGAATTAGAAAACCAGATTACATTATTAAGCAAAATTACATTAGTTAGTCATCTTAAACAAAAAATTTCAGCAAATACTATAAACCAATCAAGTCTTGGCTTGGTATAGCATCATTATTCAAAACCAAGATGTTATATTTTATTTCAATTCTTTCTATAATTATAGCTAACTCTTTTACCTCAGCAATTTCAATCTAAAAAAATTCTCTATGATGCTATACATAAAGTACAAATATATGAAATACAAATATATTAGCAGCAGAAAACATTATGAATGCCTTACCCAGTAAAAAAACAAAATTATTGTGGTCCAAATTTCATTACTGGATTTTATAACCAGTTTTCATTGCCTTTTTTTTGTGACTATTCAGGAGAATATTGGGTTGATCCTAATCAAGGTTGCAAGATGGATGCTATCAAAGTATTCTGTAATATGGAAACCGGGGAAACATGCATAAATGCCAGTCCTTCCAGTGTTCCACGTAAGAACTGGTTTATAGATTCTAGTGGTGAGAAGAAATACGTTTGGTTTGGAGAGTCCATGGATGGTGGTTTTCAGGTAAGCAAGAATACACTTTTCTGAAATACAAGGGTACTTTTAAAAGTTTATGGAAAGATTGTATTATCTTTCAATTCTATTTTTTCATAATAAATATATGATTTTATATGTTCAGGTGATTATACTTTCATAACTTTTCTAACTTTTCTCTCAAGAGCTAAGTTTGACTGAATTATTCTTTGTATGCAAATACTTTTCTTTCGCTTTATTTTTATTTATCCTTTAAATTGATTATATGTATTCAGGGGACACAGAGCTGACCATCAGCACCTGTGCCTGTGCAATAAAACATTACTCTAAATGCAATAAAAATATATTAATATATAAAATATTCATACACAAAATATATGAACATTTTATATTGCAGTATCCATTCTAACACTACATGATTTCCTCACAACAGTTACAACTAAAATGTTTGATCAGTTTTATTTGTTCCCTCTTACAGTTTAACTATGGCAATCCTGAACTTCCTGAAGACATTCTTGATGTACAGCTGGCATTCCTCCGACTTCTCTCCAGCCGGGCCTCCCAGAACATCACATATCACTGCAAGAACAGCATTGCATACATGGATCAGGCCAGTGGGAATGTAAAGAAAGCCCTGAAGCTGATGGGGTCAAATGAAGGCGAATTCAAGGCTGAAGGAAATAGCAAATTCATATACACAGTTCTGGAGGATGGTTGTACTGTAAGTATAAACATGGCTCATAACGCACTCAGCATTTTTAGTTAAATCATGCTAACTATTTTAAAAAGAAAAAATAAAAATAATATTGTGAACAAAAGATGGCATTTGGTGTGAATTATATAGCATCTATTGATTCATTGAAGGGAATGTTAAATACCACAAAATGTGAATAAATCTTCCTAACCTCCAGATGAAAACTAGTTGAAATGAAAGCAATTGAGATTAAGTTCATACTATAAACTTTATCAGATAACTGGGAAGGTTACTATACATTCTGCATATCTGTCATATGGACTCAATCTAAAATCTCTACTTTTCTTTTTAATTTTAAAAGTTAACTTCAAATCTATCCTTTGTTATTGTCATTTATGAACAAAGGGAGAACTGACTTCTAATAGCAAATTCCATTGTGAGTGACCTATCCACTTTTTAATAATTCAACTATATATCTGGTAGCAATGACCAGACCAGGCCTCCTAAGAATGACCTGGCCTATGGTGAACTCCCTGCTGGGTTTACCCCGAAGGCCCACAGTGGCTTTTGTTTAAGAATTTTGTTTATCAACTGAGAGGATTATAGCTTTGAAATGGAGCAGAACTAACAATTCCCCAAGAGCAAAACAAAAAAATTAACTTGATCGGTAAGAGGAATTGTCTAAATAATTGTAGCATCATGATCACTTACATTCTTTTGCCCTTTTTTACAGAGACATACTGGGGAATGGAGCAAAACTGTCTTTGAATATCGAACACGCAAGGCTGTGAGACTACCTATTGTAGATATCGCACCCTATGACATTGGTGGCCCTGATCAGGAATTTGGTGTGGACCTTGGCCCTGTTTGCTTTTTATAAACCAAACGTTATCGGAAACCCAAGAAAAAAATGTCACACTCCATATGTGTTCCTCTAGTTCTAATCTTGTCAACCAGTACAAGTGACCAACTAAATTCCAGTTATTTATTTCCAAAATTTTTGGAAAAAGTATAATTTGATGAAAAAAGGATACTTTTTTTTTTTCTGTTCCATCAAATACAGTTCAAATGCTTTTTGTTTTATTTTTTTACCAATCCCAATTTCAAAATGTCTCAATGGTGCTATAATAAATAAACTTCAACACTCTTACAATAACACTGTGTTACATTCTTTGAATCCTAGCCCATTTGCAGATCAATGACTATGCTCACCAGTAAAAGATAACCTTTCCTTCTGAAATAGTCAAACATGAAATTAGAAAAGACCTCCCTATTTCAACTACCTCAACTGGTCAGAAACAGGTGAATTTTATGAGTCCCAGAAGACAAAAATGTGCATCAGTTGGCCAAAATTGTAAATTTCATTGATTAATTTCCTAGAATACTGATTTTAAAAAGTATAGTATAGTGCAAGAATTTAAAGAAATATTTTAAAAGCCACAATTATTTTAATCTTGGATATCAACTGCTTTTAAAGGTGCTTCTCTCTTTTCTTGTCATTGCTGGTCAAGATTACTAATATTTGGGAAGGCTTTAAAGACACATGTTATGGTGCTAATGTACTTTCACTTTTAAAGCTAGATCAGAATTGTTAGCTTGCATTCAAAACATAAATGCACAACATCTGTACATGTCTCCTCTCATAAAGATTAATTGGCGTGCCACAGGGACTTCTCTCCCTTTATCCTGTAAAAGTCAACAACCAAAAACAATTTGTGGGGCTGCTTTTGTCACAATAACACAGAGAATGTGTTGAAATTTAACTTTGTAAGCTTGTATGTGGTTGTTGATCTTTTTTTTCTTACAGACACCCATAATAAAATATCATATTAAAATATTCCTGGTTTTTGTCACTTTTCATAGATTTAACAAATGCATGTCTACACTGAGGAACTTTAGTGATTTTCTTGAAAAACAATATTAAATTCTAACTATGCTAACAATTGTTCAGAATATAGATAATGTTCACTGGGGAATCCTGCAGATTTTTAGATCATATTTAGTAGAATCCCTGGGCTTATTGAAACTGAGAGCATTCTGTTTGAAAGGTCAATCCCTGGAAATGATAACATAATAAATTGGGGTGTCTCCAAAGTGGTGGTAATCAAGGAGGAATATGCTGGTAGTTTACCAGGAAGTAAGATGGGTCTGGAGAAACACATTAATATTAAGAATAATTTACAAATACAGCATGATCTCACATGTGGAAACTAAAAAAATTAAACTCATACAAGTAGAGTTGAGTGGTGGTGCTCAAGGAGGAATATGCTGGTAGTTTACCAGGAAGTAAGATGGGTCTGGAGAAACACATTAATATTAAGAATAATTTACAAATACAACATGATCTCACATGTGGAAACTAAAAAAATTAAACTCATACAAGTAGAGTTGAGTGGTGGTGGGGTGGAGTAGAGGAGGTTTTGGTCAAAGAACATGAAAGTTCAGTTAGATAAGGAGGTTCCAGAGATCTATTATACAACATGTTGACTATAATTAATAACACAGTCTAGAAAATTGCTAAAAGTAGGTTTTAGGTATGGACACCACAGAAAATAAGTCTGCGAAGTAATGCATATTATCTCAATTAGCTACTCCATAGCATATACATATTTCAAAATACCATGTTGTACATGATAAATATATACAAATTCATTTGACAATTAAAAAATAAATATGCAAATAAGCAATGTTCAATAAAATATTAAGAGTAATTTCAAGCTTAGGCTTTTTCTACCATCTCTACACACTGTCTCTTTGACCTCTTAATCAACACCTTTCTACCATAAAGTTTTAATATTTTTAGTTATCATACACAGTAGGTCTTGTACACTTGGCTTTATAGTTTGACATTTGCTCACTCTACATGGCTAACAAAAATAATAATCTTTTCAAAATCAAAAATTACATCAGTCAAACATCAGGACTCTTAGTTTGTTTATCATCCAACCTGGAGGCAACCAATAGTAAATTTCTACATCTTTTTGGAAATATTGTATTTGCATATAAATAATATATATTATATATTTACTTATATATCTATTATATACATTGACATATAAATTATATATATATTTATACATACATATATATATAGAGAGAGAGAGAGAGAGAGAGAGAGAGAGAGAGAGAGAGAGGGACATATAAATTATATATATATTTATACATACATATATATATATAGAGAGAGAGAGAGAGAGAGAGAGAGAGAGAGAGAGAGAGAGAAAGCCAATAGTATGAATTAACAGATTACATGGAGTTTGATTTTAGGCAATGAGAAGCATATGAAACACAATCTTTGCCTTCCTGTATTTTTAACTTAACATATCATGAAAAGTAGTTCATTTCACTATATATATAGCTCTAACTCATTGAGTGTTATTGATGCCTAATATTCAGTTTAATGAACAAGCTAGAGTTAAAATTGTTTACTTATTTATTTGCTACCAGGTATCTAAAGCCCCATCTTACTGCAGAGTCTTTATTGAGGTTAGGAGCCACAAAGACACTTGCTCTCCTGGGCTTAGCCAATCAGAGATACACACCTGAAAGGTTCAACCTGGAGATAGTTGTGTAAGTTTCACATTACTGCCGTAGCAAGTTACCACAAACTTAGTGACTTAAAACAACACAGATTTGTTGTCTTACATTTCTGGATGTCAAATCTAAACTGGGTGTTACTGAGCTAAAATTAAGGTTTCAAGCAAGACTTTCTTTCCTTTTCACAGCTTCAAAAGGCTGCCTGGATTCTGTGCTTCATGAGCCACTTCTGTCTTCAAAGCTGGCAACATTTGGTCAAATCTTTATCCCATTACATCACTCTGACATTGGCTCTTCTGCTTTCCCCTTTTACTTATAAGAACTCTTATGATTTCATTGGGTCCAATTTCATAATCTCCCCATTTCAAGGTCAGCTGATAAGCAACCTTAATTCCATCTGTAATCTTAATTCCCTCTTGCTCTTGCCATGCAACATAACATATTCACAGGTTCCAGGGATTAGTATGTGGACATGCTGCAGCTGTGACCACCACCTGAGTGGATTTTCTATTCTCCTTAGTCTTTTGCATTACATTTATTCTATTTTGGTAGATAGAATAATGTCCTCTCAAGTATAGTGCCAGAAATGGCATCTAGTATCCAGTGTTTGTGATGGCTTCACCAAGCTGTTTCTGGAGTATGATTTTGAAGATCACTCTGAGTGTCAGCATTCACTTGATTTCTGTTCATTGTAGGAACCTAAATTCCATAGCTTTCTCTGAATTACCTTGAACTTCAGATAAGATCCATAAATTACATTTCTACTTAAATCAGCCAAAGCTGATTTAGGTTGTTTGCAACTAAGAATACTGACTAGGCTGGCAATTGGTAACAGCAAAAATGGCAGGCAGCAGAAATGCAGGAAAATAGAAAGACTCTGGGACCAAATGTTTGTACTAGTTAGGGGTAAAAGGAAGAAAATCCAGTTTGTATCCAGAGATGAGAATTTGGAAGTCTATAAAATAGGATTAGTCATCTATGATCACATGGAGTGATTTGCACTTTGAAGTCAAGGCTTAAGAAGATAAGTGGCCTCTACTATCCAACAATATGTTTGCATTTCATGAGAAAGTGCAGGACTGAATGTAAGTGTGTCTGCTTTTACTGATGATGCACAGAAAGAGAATGACAAGTTCAAATCCCTAACTTCTTGGCTCAAGGCACAGAAGGAAAGCTCTGCCCTTTCTCTAATTGTGCTGAAATAAAAACATAAATACTTTTCTAAAAAAAAATAGAACTCATCTTTTTGCCAAAGGACTGAGGTAGCTAAAAACCAAATTTTGTTACACCTCTCACTGTATAACAGAGATGAAAAAAAGATTACTCAAAGCAACCTGAATGCAATGAGAAGTCCGAAGGGACTGCACCTCAGCAACTCCTCTGTTAGAAGGAGAAAACTGAGTATGGCCCCGATTCCAGATGAAAAAAAGATTACTCAAAGCAACCTGAATGCAATGAGAAGTCTGAAGGGACTGCACCTCAGCAACTCCTCTGTTAGAAGGAGAAAACTGAGTATGGCCCCGATTCAAAGTTAACTTCTGTTTTTCATTGTAAAGACAAGGAAGTTTCACAAGAAAAATCAGTTGATTCAATCAGTTCAAAAGGACACAAAGACATGGGCAATGTGACAAAAGTTATCTATGTGTAAGTATAGCTTAAGCAATGGAAACTAGTAATATCATTTAAATCTAAGTATAATTGTCTCTGAAGTTTCCACCAACAAACAGCTTGCCCTTAGCAAACATTTTTTCACATTTTTTCCTTCAGCAATTCTTTAAAATCTCTTAACAGGATTAGTATGTCAACCACCTGTTAGCTCTAAAATCATTAAATTATACAATCCCATACATAAACAGTAACTAGAGTTGATTAGATGGGCTATTGCCAGGCTAGCTGTGGGCATTTGCCCCCTGCCGAGGGCTTTCGCCCCGTACATGCATTACCTAAAAACCCTATTCTTTTTTTTTTTTGTCTTTTTTCGTGACCGGCAACAGATCGCAACCCTCAGCGTCGCGCCCGTACCGGACCGGGACCAGCAACGGGATCGCAACCCTCGGTGTTGCCCCCGCTCCTCGCTCAGCCAGTGAGCGGCCGGTCTGTATGTGGGATCCGAACCCTTGGCGGGAGCGCCGCCGCGCTTCCCAAGCGGCGCACTGTAGCAGTGCGCCACCGGGCCAGCCCCCTAAAAACCCTATTCTAAACATCAAATGAGAACCAAGATTTCTAACCGTCTACAAAATTTAAACCTTCATTCTACAGATTTCCAAACTTCAACATAAAATTTTTCTAACCATCTAAAATAGGACCCTTAATCCCTATTAGCCTGGTAGTATTTCTGTCTCTGCCATTCTTAAAATGCAAGATGTCTATAAGAAAAAAACATTTCTCCTCATACCTCATTTCTACCACTACTTATTGTCTCCAGACTTATAACTAGTTTCAGATCCCAAAATGCCTCAGGAGGTAGTAATTAAAAGTTCAGTCTCAGGAAGAGGTTTACACATTAAAAGAATGAAAGGATTTAATTCATTTATATTGTCTAAAATCTGGGTAATACATGGGAGTGGTCTGAGACACTACAATTAAAAGTTCAGTCTCAGGAAGAGGTTTACACATTAAAAGAATGAAGGGATTTAATTCATTTATATTGTCTAAAATCTGGGTAATACATGGGAGTGGTCTGAGACACTAGACAAGAAAGAATAGTGCAATTTGGACAAAATTTTTCAATATATGAATGTCACAGAGAACTTAAGGAACTTTATACCATAATGTGGTCAGTTGTCTGAATCCAGGTCACTGAGGTAGCCCTAACTAAATGACTTTGAGACATTGCAAACTTACTGGCAAGTAGAGAATGTAATTAAAAAACTTAAGAACATAGAAATGTTGGAATGGATTTATTGTATGAAACACACCACTCACCTTCTGATTGTATTCTAAAGTGAACCACTAAGGTCTTGAGAAATACATGGTGAGATACATTCTGGCACCTTTGAAAACCTTCTTGTAAGTGAATCTGTAATCTGGATATGAAAGTAGAAAAACTCAGCTGAAATAGGCTTCTTGATTTCAGTGGAGACGACCAGATCTCAATTGGCAGAGGATAAAGAGAAGCTCTAGACTACCAGAAACAAAACGAGAATGATAGCTTGATAATTGTAAGAGACAGCAGGACGGGCATGGTAATAAAAAAAAAAAAGAAAAGTCTAACTTAGAAGTATCTTTCATGGTGGCAAATTGATAATGGCCTACTACATAAGCTCTGTTAGGTGGGCTGCCTGAGAGAGTCATATACTA